GCCTCCCGGGTTCCCGCCATTCTCCTGCCTCAGCCTCCCGAGTAGCTGGGACTACAGGCGTCCGCCACATCGCCTGGCTAGTTTTTTGTATTTTTTAGAAGAGACGGGGTTTCACCATGTTAGCCAGGATGGTCTGGATCTCCTGACCTCGTGATCCGCCCATCTCGGCCTCCCAAATTGCTGGGATTACAGGCTTGAGCCACCGCACCCGGCCTATGCTCAGATTTTCTTCTGCCTCTGCCGCCCCTGAGAGAGCAAAGACCAACCCCCTCTCCTCCTCTTCCTCCTCCTCCTCAGCCTACTCAATGTGAAGAGGATGACAATGAAGACCTTGATGATGACCCACGTCCACTTCATGAATAGTAAATATACTTTCTCTTTTCTTTGATTTTCTTAACATTTTCTTTCTTTTAGCTTACTTTAAGAATACAATATACGTTACATATAAAATACAAAATACGTGTTAATCGACTCTTGATGTTATTGGTAAGACTGTGGTCAACAGTAAGCTATTAGAAGTGAAGGTTTTGGGGAGTCAAAAGTTATATATGGATTTTTGACTGTGTGGGGGCTAGCCTCCCCTAGACCCCATGTTGTTCAAGGGTCAACTGTATTATGTAAATGCAGAGAAAAAAGACTAGAGATATATTTAAAATCAGAATACCTAGGTGACAAGATTTCAGGAATTTCTGGTTTCCTGGTTTATATTATCTTATATTTTCTAAAATAATATTGCGTCTATCAGAACAAAATGAACCTAAAAAATCCTCAGACATTTTAAGATATGCCAAAAGCCTATCCCAACACTATTGCCTCACTAAATTTGAGCACTTTTTTTGTGTGTGTGAGACAGGATCTTGCTGTGTTGCCCAGGCTGGAGTGCAGTGGTGCAATCATAGCTCACTGGAACCTCAAACTCCTGGGCCCAAGCGATCCTCCCGCCTCAGCCTCCAAAGTAGCTGGAATTAAAGGTGTGCACCTCCATGCCCAGCTAATTTTTCAATTTTTGTAGAGGCAGGGTTTCACCATGTTGCCCAGGTTGGTCTCAACCTCCTGAGCTCAAGCAATCCTCCTGCTTCAGCCTCCCAAAGTCTGAGCACTTTTTATCATTCTGATTACCATAGCAAATTTATATTTTGACTTGACAGTTTCAATGGACTAAATTAAGGAAATGAGTGACAAAAATAGGATTAAAATCTCAAGTCTGAGAATCACAGAACACAGGATCTGGATGCGTCCCCAAACCTATCTCCTCTCAATCTATCCCCCTCCTTATGGCACAGGTGTAGGTGTGTGATGACGTGTTGGGGAGCTCACTCTCGAGCAGCCATGGCCACCCCA